AACTATTTTTGCTACAACCTATTATCATATATTTGCGGACTCTGTGCATTCCCCGTGATCACAAAAACCACTTAAAATCGCTCTATCTCTTCTAGTTTAGCCAGAAAACGCGTTTAAAGTTTTGCAAAAGATTTTTTTAAATATCTCCAAAACTATTTTTGCTACAGCCTATTATCGTATATTGGCGGACTCTGTGGATTCCCCGTGATCACAAAAAACACTTAAAATCGCTCTATCTCTTCTAGTTTAGCCAAAAAACGCGTTTAAAGTTTTGCAAAAGATTTTTTTAAATATCTCCAAAACTATTTTTGCTAAAGAATATTATCATATATTGGCGGACTATGTTAATTCCCCGTGATCACAAAAAACACTTAAAATCGCTCTATCTCTTCTAGTTTAGCCAGAAAACGCGTTTAAAGTTTTGCAAAAGATTTTTTTAAATATCTCCAAAAATATTTTTGCTACAGCCTATTACATATATTTGCGGACTCTGTGGATTCCCCGTGACACAAGAAACACTTAAAATCGCTCTATCTCTTCTAGTTTAGCCAGAAAACGCGTTTAAAGTTTTGCAAAAGATTTTTTTAAATATCTCCGAAACTATTTTTACTATTTTTATTATCATATATTGGCGGACTCTGTGGATTCCCCGTGACACAAGAAACACTTAAAATTGCTTTATCTCTTCTAGTTTAGCCAGAAAATGCGTTTAAAGTTTTGCAAAAGATTTTTTTAAATATCTCCGAAATTATTTTTACTACAGCCTATTATCATATATTGGCGGACTCTGTGGATTCCCCGTGACACAAGAAACACTTAAAATCGCTCTATCTCTTCTAGTTTAGCCACAAAACGCGTTTAAAGTTTTGCAAAAGATTTTTTTAAATATCTCCAAAAATATTTTTGCTACAGCCTATTACATATATTTGCGGACTCTGTGGATTCCCCGTGACACAAGAAACACTTAAAATCGCTCTATCTCTTCTAGTTTAGCCAGAAAACGCTTTTAAAGTTTTGCAAAAGATTTTTTTAAATATCTCCGAAACTATTTTTACTATTTTTATTATCATATATTGGCGGACTATGTTAATTCCCCGTGATCACAAAAAACACTTAAAATCGCTCTATCTCTTCTAGTTTAGCCAGAAAACGCGTTTAAAGTTTTGCAAAAGATTTTTTTAAATATCTCCAAAAATATTTTTGCTACAGCCTATTATCATATATTTGCGGACTCTGTGCATTCCCCGTGATCACAAAAAACACTTAAAATTGCTCTATCTCTTCTAGTTTAGCCAGAAAACGCGTTTAAAGTTTTGCAAAAGATTTTTTTAAATATCTCCGAAACTATTTTTACTACAGCCTATTATCATATATTGGCGGACTCTGTGGATTCCCCGTGACACAAGAAACACTTAAAATCGCGATATCTCTTCTAGTTTAGCCAGAAAATCCAAAACTATTTTTGCTACAGCCTATTATCATATATTGGCGGACTCTGTTAATTCCCCGTGATCACAAAAAACACTTAAAATCGCTCTATCTCTTTTAGTTTAGCCAGAAAACGCGTTTAAAGTTTTGCAAAAGATTTTTTTAAATATCTCCAAAAATATTTTTACTACAGCCTATTATCATATATTGGCGGACTCTGTGGATTCCCCGTGATCACAAAAAACACTTAAAATCGCTCTATCTCTTCTAGTTTAGCCAGAAAACGCATTTAAAGTTTTGCAAAAGATTTTTTTAAATATCTCCAAAACTATTTTTGCTACAGAATATTATCATATATTGGCCGACTATGTTAATTCCCCGTGATCACAAAAAACACTTAAAATCGCTCTATCTCTTCTAGTTTAGCCAGAAAACGCGTTTAAAGTTTTGCAAAAGATTTTTTTAAATATCTCCAAAAATATTTTTACTACAGCCTATTATCATATATTGGCGGACTCTGTGGATTCCCCGTGATCACAAAAAAACACTTAAAATCGCTCTATCTCTTCTAGTTTAGCCAGAAAACGCGTTTAAAGTTTTGCAAAAGATTTTTTTAAATATCTCCAAAAATATTTTTGCTACAGCCTATTACATATATTGGTGGACTCTGTGGATTCCCCGTGACACAAGAAACACTTAAAATCGCTCTATCTCTTCTAGTTTAGCCAGAAAACGCTTTTAAAGTTTTGCAAAAGATTTTTTTAAATATCTCCGAAACTATTTTTACTACAGCCTATTATTATATATTGGCGGACTCTGTGGATTCCCCATGACACAAGAAACACTTAAAATCGCTCTATCTCTTCTAGTTTAGCCAGAAAACGCGTTTAAAGTTTTGCAAAAGATTTTTTTAAATATCTCCGAAACTATTTTTACTACAGCCTATTATCATATATTGGCGGACTCTGTGGATTCCCCGTGACACAAGAAACACTTAAAATCGCTCTATCTCTTCTAGTGTAGCCAGAAAACGCGTTTAAAGTTTTGCAAAAGATTTTTTTAAATATCTCCAAAAATATTTTTGCTACAGTCTATTATCATATATTGGCGGACTTTGTGGATTCCCCGTGATCACAAAACACACTTAAAACCACTCTATCTCTTCTAGTTTAGCCAGAAAACGCGTTTAAAGTTTTGCAAAAGATTTTTTTAAATATCTCCAAAACTATTTTTGCTACAGCCTATTATCATATATTGGCGGACTCTGTTAATTCCCCGTGATCACAAAAAACACTTAAAATCGCTCTATCTCTTCTAGTTTAGCCAGAAAACGCGTTTAAAGTTTTGCAAAAGATTTTTTTAAATATCTCCAAAACTATTTTTGCTACAGCCTATTATCATATATTGGCGGACTCTGTTAATTCCCTGTGATCACAAAAAACATTTAAAATCGCTCTATCTCTTCTAGTTTAGCCAGAAAACACGTTTAAAGTTTTTCAAAAGATTTTTTTAAATATCTCCAAAACTATTTTTGCTACAGCCTATTATCATAATTATCCAAAAGATAACAATATTAATTACGCACTTTCTAAAATTAAACCAGCTTAAATTAGGACATATTTATAACAACTAAATTACAGATAGAAAATTATTTGAGATTTGTTCGTGTTGTGATTTCTTCATTGAGAATTCGGCTCTAACTATGCTGTAGAAGAAATTGTGTGTTACAAAAGTTTATATATTGGAATGTACTTCTAAATTACAATTGCTAGAGCGATGTGGGAATACGAGTGTAATGAGTTAGATACGCTGAAAAATTCATTCTCTTCGGAATTTGACTCTACCGGATCTGGTCCGCGATTTAATTGTATTCTTACTCATCTATTTAGAATTAAATTGAAACTAAACGTAAATTCAATAAAGCTTACTGGTACACTCCAAAACTAAAACTCCAAAAATAAAATAACAATATGAGCAAAACTATAACGTCACAAACAGAATTTTAGCTGCACAGATTTTTTATTAGCGGCATTGTTATCATCAGTTCAGGTTCGGATATCTGGCCGATGTCATTACCGCTTCCGATGTGACGCGTTTTTTTATATTTGAAAAATATATTTTTGCATTAAAGGAATATTTTTATTCTGAAAGCCAATATTTTACCACTTTCCAACAATATATTTAACCCTTGCACTCCGTTGTCGCCGTATTTGCGACGTTAAAAAGCTAAAAGTAAATAGAGGCGACATGGTTGTTTTTTCTGCCTCGCACTCTCAACTGTTAAGCAAGCAAAATAGTGTGTGCTTATTTTATAGTCTTTATGGTACGTTTATTATGCTTACATTATAACAAGAGTAAAAAGTGCTCTATTTAAATTTATTTTATTATACTCATAACGGTTGTAACCCGTCGTGTAGTGAAGATGGAAAGCGAAAATTTACTGTGTAATTCCAGGTAAATCACGATATAGGCAATTGTTTCACAAGATATCACACTTTAGGAAATTTTAGTCCTAAAATTTATGTTTTTCTTTTATAATATAAATTAGAATATGCTCTATAGCTAAGAAATAAAAATTTTGTTTTATTGAAACGACTCTATTGTTCTGGAACTGGATTTGCTGGCAGCCTCTATGCATTACTAGGCTGGAGTACAAAGGGTTAACTACAAAATATCAAATAAAATATGTAGGAAACAATAAAATAATTGTGTAAATTGATTTAACGCAAACATTAAACATTATAAGTAAGTAAAGTGCCTGCATTGATATTTCCCCATTATAAATTTTCATTTATTCAATGCCTTCTCATTATACGGCAAACTTATTTCCTAACCTTTAAAACAATAAAATTAGTTTTAACACAGTAAGCATATACATAGTAATTTTAACAAATAAATAAGCATTATTTAAATATTTATTATTAAATTTTAAATAGCTCTACATATGTACGAGTATATGAAAGTTAAATAAATAAATATTCACAATTTCTTTACAATAATATTAGTAGTACGCGGCTATAAAAAACACACAACCGTTATTACATGGAATAAAATAGGCGTGATGCTAAAATTATTGCACAATTTACAAATATCTCTACACATGTGTATGTATATATTTACAAATATGAACAAAACCTAAAGTAAGTATGACTTCTTATCAAAAAGTAAATTATTTAAGAAAAAATAAAAAAAAAGAATAAAACCTCTTTGCAAATAAAAACAAAATCTCATTTTAATGAAACGCCAAGCAACTAGAATATGAAAACCTTAACAAACGTACAAAGAAAAAATTTTCTCTCATAATTTAGAAAAATTTTCATTTAATTTATATTCAGTTTAAAAATAGTTTCACTGATTAAAATAACCGGGTAAAATTAGTTATTAAAAATTAGAAAAAAAATATAAATAAAATACAAGCCAACAGAAAAAGGTCGAAAAAATGATTAATTTTTCAATAAACTGGAAAAGATATAAAAATCAAATTTTGGCCACATTCATTGGTGAATATTAAATTCAACCATAAATTTTTTAAATTAATAAAATTCATAAATTTTTTCTTAAATTAAAAATAGCAAACATATTTGCATTATCGCATGGTGTTGCATTAGGATGGTTATCACCAACATTAAATTATTTACAATCAGATCAATCTCCATTAGATTCAGGTAAAGTTACAGTTGAAGAAGGTTCATGGATTGGTTCAACATTAAGTTTAGGTAGTGCTGTAGGAAATTTATTTTATGGATTTTTATTAGAGAAAATCGGACGAAAATGGACAATTTATTCATTATCAATACCACATTTGGTAATTTTAAAATTTTATTTAAAATAATTTAATTTTAATATTAATTATAATTTTATAGGCATTTTGGTTTATTGTTCTTTTTGCCGAACATGTTAATTATCTTTATATTGCAAGATTTTTAGCTGGTGCTGCTGGTGGTGGTTCATTTGCTACTGTACCAATTTTTGTTGCTGAAATTGTTGAAAATAAGTTTGTATTTTTATAATATTCATATTAATTAATTATATAATATTTGTATATATTTTAGTATTCGTGGACGATTGGCATCATTCTTTCAAATTACATTAAATTTTGGTACAGTTATGGGTTATATAATAACATCTTATCTGCCATATTCAACAGTACCATTAGTTGGTATTATATGTCCATTATTTTTTATGATAAGTATGGCATTTATGCCAGAAACACCACATTATCATATTAAAAATAATCATGAAGATAAAGCTGAAAGATCACTTCGTTTTTATAGAAATTATAAAGGAACGGAACGTGAAGATATTGAATTAGCACAATTTGTTAAAGATTTAAAATTATCAATATTGGGTGATGAACAAATACGAGAAAAAGTTTCATTTGTTGATTTTCGTAAGAAATTGAAATTTTTTTTTCAGTTCCAGTGTATCTATAATAAAAATAATTGATATTTCTTTTCAGTTAATCGTCCAGCATTGAAAGCAATTTTTATTGCATTATTTTTATTACTTTTAAATCAATTTAGTGGTGCATTTGCAATTATTAATTATGGTACAAATATATTTGAACAAACAAATTCAAAATTTGATAAAAAAATTTCAACAATACTTGTTGGTCTTTTACAATTCCTTGGAACTTGTTTATCAGCATTATTTATTGATAATGTCGGCCGTAAATTATTACTTTTGATTTCATCGATTAGTATGAGTTTAGGTCTTATAGTAGCTTCAACATATTCATATATATCGGATTATCAAAATTTAGATGAATATAGCTGGATACCAGTAACAAGTATATGTTTAGTTATATTTTTCGCTTCTATTGGAATTACACCTATACCATTTGTGGTTTTAGTTGAAATTCTACCGGGAAAGGTATATTTTATGTTTTACGTAATATATTTCTCCTTTAAAAAAAAAATATTTAATCTAATACAAATGACTAACATTTTATTATTATGATAATAAATCTTCTTTTTTTTTCTATTTGTATATTTTGTAGATAAGATCACCTGGCTCCACATTTTGTTTAATATGTTTAAGTTTAATGGCATTTACAGTATTAAAAATTTTTCCACCATTAGTTGAATTAATAGATATTTCAGGTGTTTTAGGATGTTGTGCTGCAATTTGTGCAATTTCTGGTTTTATCATATTTTTCTTTGTACCAGAAACAAAAGGGAAATTACTAGAAAAAGCAGAAATTTGTAGATAAAACTTATGAGATTTTATTTTTTAAATTGTACAAATAAATTTAATATGCGGTTTTTAAGTTTTGGATCTATTCTTTTTTTTCTTATATTTTTAGTAAACTGCAATAATTATGAAAAAGTCTAGCATTTTCAATGATAAGCAATCAATCCGAAGGATTATTGAAGTAAGGCTACACTGGCGGAATACTCTCTGATGAGACAATAGAATTTTGTAAATGCTAGATACTCTCAACGTTAGAATTATTTAAGAAAATTAAGTAGAATATTTAAGAGAAAAGTTTTATTATCCTATTGCCTCTTACTACTGCAACTATATAACTTAGATGAAAACTCATACGCTTCTACATCAAAATATACTTTGAATATTTTTAAAAGGAGATTCTTAAATTCGACTACCAGTTTTGTTATTATTTTGTTATGGTTTATGGTGTAGCAGCATTAACGGCCTGCAAATATTCTAATCGAACATTGTAGGTTGTAAAGAAACGGTAACAGTACAACGTAACCACATAATATAGATCTCTTGTGCCCCCCAACTAGGTACGGAAGAATGCCCTACAACACCCCTTCGAAACCCACCCTTCTGATGAATTCAAGTAACTTTGAAGGTCCGGTAGACCGCAGTTCCACTGAAGTGAACAAGATATAATGAAGTAATCAAACTTATCAAAGGTGGCTAAAATTTTAACTGTCAACAATATTTGATATTTAAATATAATCTTTAAAAATTCACAATAATACTCACTTATTTTTTATTCATTTTTAAAAGCTTTGCGGGGAAAAAAATTTAAAAAAGCTTCCAAGCGAATTTAAACTGTTACCAATGCGTTGTCGTTTTATTTTGCTTGTAGTGATGTTACTTCATTTTTTATTTTCTAAATTTCATTGATTTTCTCTTTTAAAAATTCCTTTTACGTAGTAGATTTAAATATTTTGATTTATTTATTAGAATGTTTGCTATTAAACAAAACCGATGTGGTTCTAAACTGAACTTTTCAATGTTGACTAACCTTATTCTGAGAAGCGCCTCACTATCATATTATAGTGTTTACAATTCTTATATCAAATCGGTTTCAAATTTGTTCTGAGTTCATATGCCAACTAATCGAACTAGTATTTCGATTGTTCGCTGTAAATTGTAAAACATTCGCAGAAACGTTATAAACTCGGATCTAATCACACCCAGCCAGTTCTTGAGTCAACTTTCGAAAGAAGAAATGAACGGGTCCACTGTATATATGTAAATACCTCAAACTATTGCTTTTCGACCTCTGAATTTCAGAATAAGAATCCAAAATCACAGAAAATCGGTAAAGTTTTTGTTTTTTCAAATCTCAATAGATGAATTTTAAGAAAATTTAATAAAATTTTTAATTAAAATTTTTTATATAGGAAGATCTCCGATTGATCTCCTGATTTTTGGTTAGAAATAAAAATATTACAAGACTATTTAATTTTATTGCAATTTTATTTTATTATTTCCAGCTATTACCAAGTGAATAAAAAATTAATTTTTTTTTATAAAATAATAAATATTTTTATTTAATAAATTTAACAAAAAAAAATTGTAATAACTAATTTTTAAAATTTTATCACTTAATTTTTAAAATATTTTTAATTGCTGTAAATATCACGATTATAGCATAGTAGACATTTGAATTTTAACTAAAAATTTTCATCACTTCATTAAAATTAACATTTATTTTCCTCTACAATTTCTTCATCACCCTCTTGTAATACCTTTCCTCTTGTTTCTGGTATAGCAAGTGTTATAAAAATGATTCCAGTGAAACAAAAACCAGCACATAGCCACATCACGCCATAAAGATTAAGTAGATCCATTAAAATCGGAAAAACTTTTAATGAAATAAAAGCAAAAGAACTTAAAATCAATAAACAGCCCATTGAAGCAATTGATCGAATCTAAAATTAAATTGAAAATTTATAGAATGTTTTCAGTTCCAAAAACAAAAAAAAAATTTACCTTGCCAGGCAATAATTCAACAATAATTAGAACTACTAATGGATTAACACCAAATGATGCTGAAAATATTACAAATGACACACTTATAATTGGTATCCAAGAATAATTATCCAAATTTATAGTGCCACTAAAATAATCATAGACTCCAGTTGTAACTAACCCTAATAACATTCCAAATAATGATAAATTGAATAATGGTTTACGACCAAAATGATCAACTAAAATTGTTGCACAATATGTTCCTATAATTTGTGTAATACCCATTACAATTGTACATAAATTCGGATCTAAAGAAGTTCCAGCTGCAGCGAATATTTTTGCTGAATAATTTAATATAACAAATGAACCGGTCACTTGATTATGTATTACAATGACTATACATGCAAGAATTGCTTTAATTGCAACTGGATTACCTGGAAAGATTCAAATATAAATTATTAAAATTGATATTTGGGTTCTCTAAAACGTATTCAAATATTAAAAGGTTATTTATTTTCACGTCATATGTTTATTTAATTTGCTGATTTATAAAAGGCGCTTCTTGAAATCACGAAAACATTTTAAATATTAGATCATATTGTAAATCACATGTTAACAAATTGAATTTATAGCGTTAATCCTTGTGCTAAGACTTTTCTTTTTTCTAAATAGAATGTCATAATAAATTTTGATAAATTTTATCGTTATCACTTTAAAAAACACAAATGCGCCCAATTGCAATTAAGATTTATTTTTCTTCAGTCTTATCAAAATTTTTTGTATGAAATTAGTTCTTTTTTTTTTAATTAGAAAATATTATTTTAAAGAAACTTACAAAAATCTTTTAATTTACGTTTTGATTCATTTGCAATGGAACTTTTTAATGAGTCTCTTAATTCTTGAAATCCCTTGTTAAATTTTTGAAATTCTTCTTTAGTATTTCCATTCAAATTTGTATAAAATTTATATGATATTTCAGCATCATTCTCTCTACCATTCAATAAATAAAATCTTGGAGTCTCTGGTAAATAGGCAACCATTAAAGTAAAAATAATTGGTATCCACATTGTTATTACGGGAACTATTCTATATGGTAGATAAGCAGTTAATGAATAACCAAATGTTAAGCCAATATTTGCAATGAAAACTAGCATTGAACCAAGTGACCCACGAATACTATTAATTAGAATATTTTTATAAAATTACACAAATTAATATTAATTTTATTTATACATACTTATTATTAGCAATTTCAGCAATAAATATAGGAACTGTTACATAAAGTCCACCTCCAGTTAAACCACTTAAATAACGTGCAATATATAAATGATAAACTTCAGTTGAAAAATAAATTGTTATCCAACCGCACTATTCAAAAATGATATTTTATTAAATGCTATTCAAATTTCATTTTTTATATATACTTACAAAATTTGGAATCCCAAGTAATAATAAAGTATATTTTCTTCCAATTCGATCTAATAGTGATCCGTATATTAAAGTACCCGTAAAACCGCCAATACTTATACATGAACCAATCCATGATTCTTCTTCAGTTGTAATACCATCTTTCAATGGTGAATCTGCGGTATGAAGTAAATTTAATGTAGGTGACATCCAGCCAAGCATTGTTCCATGAGCCAGTGCAATCATATTAGCTATAAATGTAATCGGAAATGGAAAAAATTACTATTTAATATCAAAAATAAAATTGAATTGATTTACCAGCTATTGCGGCCAAAATCTGATTTTTATATTGTACTAAATTTGATTTCGTCATATTTCCAATTTCTATTTCCTTCTTCTTTTTCTAATATTAATATCCTTTCGAAATTTATCTCTTCTTTTCAAGGATGTCTCCCTTACAGTATTCGCGGAATATTTCACGGATTTATTATTCCAAATTTAAATTTTGCTTCTAACATCTCTCGCATTCTAATTAAAATTAAAATTTTTTTTTACCAAATCATCTTATTTATGCCCATGTTTATGTAAATATTCACAAATTTAATTTACACACATTGTCAGATTTTAGTTAAGAGTGATTCTATTTGTATTTATAGAGCTACTGTTATCACAAATATCAGGAGGTATTCTGATTTTTTTTTTAATTTTATTCTATGAACTTAATATTTATAATTAATTTTTTGTCAGTCCTGCTCATGTTCATTCTAGTAGTCATGTTCTTTACTATTAGTTGCTTTTGCTCTGATAGTGTAGATGCAACGAAAACTTCTTTAAAGTACAGCAGCTTACTAAAATCGTTTTGACTCTTAATCAATCCTATTTTACTGTATAACAATCCCTATAAATACATTTTCTATGCCATCTCAGTTTCCTTCCGTACCCTGGAAATGTTACACACTAAGTTAAAAATCCATACCGTAGACCCCTATAGTTTGTAATAATAATTATCTGTTATCAATTTTCATTTAAATCACATTCATACTTTTATATTGTATAAAAGCTTTAAGAAAAATATTGAAGACACTGAACTAATTGTTATTATCTAAAAATAATCTGATGCAACCAAATAATTAATATAAAAATTTACTTAAGTTAAAATAAAAGTCCGACCATTTGATTAGTATAATAAAGAGAGCCAAAAATTTAGAAATTTTAAAATGTTTCTGAGAAATTTTATTGATAGGTGGGACTGATTTGGAATTAAATTTAAAAACAAAAATTAATTCATTATCTTGTAATATTTGTCTTCGGCCTAGTCATGATCCAAACTTGCTTTTAATTTGTAGATTCGGAAAATTTACAAACTGAGCAGTAATAATAGTATAAATTGCTGATGCCCAGCAATTAATGCAAAATGATCACTCATAATACGATTAAGAATTTTCATTAATTTGATTTTCAACACTCACTTCTAATCTGTAAAATTAGTATTTATTTAACTGACGACGTTAATTATTTGAGAGCAGGTGATAAGTGAAATTTATATTTAAGAGACAGTTTAATTATTTTTAATATTTCGTTCTTAAAATGCGAATTTACACAAATGATGACAATTTACACTATGTATATTTTAAAAAATGTTCAAAATATTTGCTTTAGTGTACCAAAAATTAAATAACAGCCTATTTTATTAGAAAACTTAAAAGCATTTTTATTATAAGTTCAGTGATCTTCAAAGAGACGGCGTCTTTATATAAAATTTGCTAAAATAAAATTTATTCCGGTTGTTTATATAAATATATATTTAAATTTGGAAGAGCTGGAAAATATTATGGATAATTCAAAACCAAACAAGAATTCAAAATTTGGTAAAGAATTGAAAAAATAATCAATTTTTCAATTATTGGACCAACTTTTCAAGATTTTCTGTAGCATAATTAAAATTTAGAATTCGAATCACAAATTAAACACACTGATCAATTAATAATTAATTGATTTATAGGTCGAATGCTTCAAGATCATTAAGTTCATCCAAGAAAATACTCAAACAAGCTCAAAAATTACAAACAAACAAATTTTTGAAAATTAAATGCTTTATGCACATTATTTATACATGTAAGAACTTTAACAGTGACGATGACTATAAGAACTTCGAAATTTTATTTCAACATTATAAACGAACGTTCAGCAGTACACAATAATAATTATCTCTACTGAATACAATCTATAGAAATAAAAGGAACGAGATAAAACAAAACAAAATTATAAAAGAAAAATTTTAGAGTAAACATTTTTTTTTTAATTGCACCCTCTGTTATGAATGAAAATGAATTATCAAATACTGCAATTATTAATTTGTTAAGGTTAAATTATGGCCTATATTTTATAGTGTTCCAGTTATATACATACATAAATAAATTATGCAATTAAAATATGTGATGCAATTTTACATATCCGTACATACTAACAAATACTTCTTTTATGCATTCTGTTCGCGGCATGTGAATTAAGTTCTTAATAATTTAAAATTCTTTACTGTCGGAAGGTCTGTTTGGAAAACCTGCATTTTATAATAGCTACTTTAAGTGAAAATTTAAAGAAATAGCTGCTCTTGCAGAAATTTACATTTAATTCTTGTTAATTCGAGTAAAATGCAAAAAAAGTATAACAGAATAAGTGTTGTTATCATAGTATAGATATAGCCACGATAAAAAAGGAAAAGTCATTCTCACACTGATAATCATATGATAATAGGATTTCTATAAGTATATTTCAATCATGAACTAATAAACAACATTAATTTCGTAATCATTGTTATATTTTATGACGTCACTTTCATTTAAAGTTTAGTATAATTACATTTTATTGTGAAATAGGATACAAAAATAATAAGATAAAACACAAAAAATATGTAAATTTTGAGTAGATCTTTAGAAACAGTATTTTCAAAGAAAATGCTACATCGCATCTGATAAAACTTTCTGTTCTCCTATAAATATGCAATCATTATTGAAAAATCCGAAACTACATAATTAAATTATTTACGAAACCAGTTTATCGTAATCAAAAAAAAAAAAGTTTTGAAAAGCTTTAAACTTTGAATGATTAGAACTTTTTAGTTCAATTCAATGAATTAATTGTTTTATATTCATTAAACAAAACTGTTATAATTCAATTGTTAACTGTTATTATACACTTAAATTGAACCGAAGAACGAGCTGTTATTTGTTTATTTTTCTGCGTTTAGAATTTAGTTTTAATGCATTTAGAATGCTTAAGTGTTTTCTGTTATAATTTATGATATATATATATATATATGTATATATAAAATTAGTATACAAAAGTGTGCTATTAGATATTCAGCACAATTAAAAATTGGCTAATTGCCATTCAATTTCAAATATTAAAATTAAAGTAAAACCTTCATAAATTTCATTCTTAATATTACTAAGGAATGATCATCATTAAGCGATTTGTCCCTGACTATTATAACAAATTAATCCCATATTCTATAATAATTAAATCTATATTACCACAATATTTTCAGTAAAAATCATAAATATTTATTATACTTAAAATTAAAGTCTTAAATCTATTTATTAATATTTTTCATATAAATTTAACAATTATTTTCAACAGTTCTCTGCTCTGAATTTTCTGCTAATGCCTTCCCTCGAGTTTCTGGTACAAACAATGTTACAAGAATAATTCCGCTTACACAAAATCCCGAACATAACCACATTAAACCATAAAGATTAATTATATCCAATAAAATTGGAAATATTTTCAATGTTATAAAAGTAAGTCCATTCAATATCAACATACTGCCTAATGAAGCAACTGAACGAATCTAAAAAAAAAACTTTAAATAATATTTATAATTACATTATAGTCTATTAATTACCTTTCCAGGAAATACTTCGATAATCATTAAGCCTAATAATGCCGTAACACCAATTGATGTTGAAAATATAATAATTGAAACACTTAAAATTGGAATCCAAGAATAAATATCTGTATTTATGCTACCACTGTAATAATCATACAGTCCAGTTGTTAACAAGCCCACTAACATTCCCAATAATGATATATTAAATAATGGTTTTCGACCGAAACGATCGACTAATGTTGTGGCACAACAATTACCAAAAATTTGTGTTATTCCTAATATTATAGTACATAAATTTGGATCTAAAGATGTTCCAGCCATATCAAATACTTTTGAAGCATAATTTATGATAAATGCATAACCGGTCATTTGGCTATGTACCATAATAATCATACTAGCTAAAAATGCTTTTCCTGCAACTGGGTTCCCTAAAATTTTCAATTGTAAATACTTTTAGAATGATTCATAACTATTACAATTACACAATATTATTACATATGTATGAATTCTTTGATATTAAGTACTTGTATGCTTTCAAATATAATACGAAATATAATTTTAATACTTACAGAAATCTTTTATTTTAAGTTTTGAATCAATTTCAACTGAGCCACCCTTTAGTGAATCTTTCAGATCTTGAAAATCTTTATTAAATTTTTCTAATTCTTCTACTGTATTCCCTTCAAAGTTCTTATAGAATTTAAGTGATTTTTCGGCTTCAATCTCTTTACCCCTCAACAAATAATATTTTGGTGTATCTGGCAAAAAAATTAATAGTCCAATAAAAATAAGTGATGTCCATATTGTTATTAAAGGAACTGTCCTAAATGGAAGATAAGCTGCCAATGAAAATCCACATGTTAATCCAAAATTTACCATGAACATTAACATTGAACCGAGAATTCCACGAATGCTACAATTAAAAAAATCAATTATATTTTTTTGATTTTTTTTAATGAATATGAACACATACTTATTGTCAGCTATTTCAGCAATAAATATAGGAACAGTTATATAAATGGCACCACCAGTTAAACCAGCGAAAAACCGTGCAATATATAAATGTTCAACTTCACTTGAGAAATAAATTGTTATCCAACCGCACTAAAATATTTATGTTTATGTTATGAAATATATTTTATATAATAAAATTTAGTAAATTTCATTTACAAAATCTGGAACTGCAAGTAGGAGCACACCATATTTTCTTCCCATTTTCTCAAATAATGTACCAAATAATAAAGTACCCACAAATCCACCAATATTTACCATTGAACCAATCCATGATTCCTCATCAGTTGTTATATCATTTGGAAATGGTGAATTGTGAGAATGAAGTAGAAGTATTGTCGGTGACATCCAACCTAATGTAGTACCATGAGCCAATCCGATTATATTTACTTAAAAAAAATTCAAATATGTAAATTTAGAGATAAAAAATAAAATGTAATGTACAGGTTGAATTTACTTACTGACTATTGCTGCTAAAATTTGATTTTTATATTTTTTTAAACTTGATTTGATCATATTGAGTATTTCGTTCTAACCTTCTACAAGTTTAGCAAATACCGTTATCAAAGATTCTACGAATTGATTTTTTTTTTTGAAAAGTATTTTGTTACAGTAGAGCTTTCCTCAAAATTATTTTAATTATTATTTTAAATTATTTTATTTTTTCCAATTTTCATTCCAGTACCGTCGGCATTCTAATTGCAAATAAAATTCTTTTGCCGTAAATTTTCTTTTACCATCAATAAACTGGTTATATATGAGCTTTAAATTTATACGTCCGTATTTTATAATATACAATCATATAGAAAATTAATTTTTATTTCAAAGAGAATCCTTACTTACGACTAAACAATACAAATCACAATTAGTTAAGCTCAATTAGCAAGATAAGTGAATGTTATCATTCAATTCTATAATAATGTTTATAATAAATGCAAGTTCAATTTCAAAAGTTCTATATAAGATATGTACGTAAAATAAATATTCATTATCAATAATATTCTATTATAGAATCGCATTCATTTATTTTTAATAAATAATATATAAAAAGTTTTTAAGATAAAAGACTATTGAATAAAAACTATCTAGTACTCTTGTTTTTTCTACGTTGTGTTATAATGTGATTAATTACATTGAAGCAATTTATTAAAATAATATGATAGTATTTATAGAAAGATAGGCTATTTAGGTTTGAAATAAATGTCTGACAGTCACAACTCTAAAAATGCCCAGTAAATAATATTACAGAATGATTTTAAAAATATCAATTTATTAAACTTACTACTATATTAAAGATTTTCTGCATTTTGATTCGGACACAGCATTTTAATTCGGTTAGAAAGTAATTTAAAAAAAATTTAAAATGATAGAAAGACTAGCTAATTTATTCTCAATATTATAGTCAACTGGAGATGCGGTTAAATTATTTACTCAACATTTTCTAAATAGAATTCATTTGCCAATGCAGCACATATAATTTTTTTTTTTTTTGCTACAGTTTTAATCTAATATTGGAGTATTTATTTAGATGATGACGATTTATTAGATGATAAGTTTTATCGACGTTACGCAGAAAATTAAAAATTTTTAGGTGTATTACTCAATTTACCAACATTAGTCAAAAGTTTATTGAATTTCGTTTTAATATTTTAACTAGTCTACTCTCGCAACTCTTTCTTACTTTAAATTTTCCATTAAAATATTTGAATTTCCAATTCAACTGGCGTTTATTCCTTTTCAGAAAAGAAATTCAACACAAGCAAAATTTTTTTTTATTTTTGTTTGAATTACATTCTCCTAAAAATATGCAATTATTTTGAAATATCTTATTAAAATTACAAAAAAAAATTTTTTGACGCATTCGAAGACACAATAATTATTAATTATCGCAAAAAATAGGGTAAGTAAGGCGATGGTTTTAGATATTCGGGTAGCAATCATTGCTATTGCAGGATGTGAAGAAAATACAATCATCCCATTCTGGGGCACCGTGTTTTTGCAAATATTTCAAAAACGCAAGAGCTGAACAATCAAACAATTCAGCTATCGTGAAGAATGCAGCCAACAGAAAACATTTTGTGGACTATCAAGATGCTTTGGAAGGTTTTTCAGGGGAAAAGGTGATTCTTTCAAACGGTACGGAGTAGTTACTTAAAGGGAAGAGGCAAAAGAGGTAGAAATGGTAGTTGTTTTAGGCGCTTGAAAGCGCTTACCCTCTTCTCATTTGTACCTTCAAAGAGAGGGGGCTGGTCGACATTAGGTTTTCTCAATAGCGCATAGATTTTGTCCCGTCGAATAGGAGACGACGGAGAACGTTTTGTGCAACTACGAGACGGTAAGTCATGGGCGTCTTCTGTGGTTAGTTGAGTGTACTCTTTTACGACTTATAAAGTCTCTGACTTGTAGAATTTTGCGGGCCGCCTGCCTGATGAACTTACTTTTGCTTTATGAGACATTACAACATGTCTTTATGGTATCGATCATCTGGCCAATGGGTCGACATCCACTTCCATGTATCTGTACATCTACGAGATCTATTTCTCTAAATGTTTATTATGTTTAAGAGAAAACGTTTCTTTCATATGGTCGGTGAAACCAAATTTTTTTATCAAACACTGAAAGAGAGGATTCGTGTTTCCTTGAGCTAATCCCGTGTATTAAACACGTTTTTTACATTTCCAATTTCTTTTCTCAAAGTATAATTTTATAAAAAAAATTATATAGTAAATATTTACCAATTATAAGGTCTTTTTTTTATTTGTATTATGTATAAGTCTTAGAAATGCTAATTAACTTGACATTTTAATAAATAAATTTAATTTGTTATACAAACACAATTTTTTATTTTTCTTATCAGGAAAATTTCCTGTACAATAAATTATTTTCTTTTTTTTTTTCTTATTTAAAATATATAAATTCATTCTAACGTTAATTATATATATATATATATATATCGAATTAGTAAGACGTCAAATAAAATACGCCGTCTATTCAACTTTCATAAAATATACACAAAAATTTTTCACTAATTTAAAATTTCGAAATTATTCTAACATTGCAATAATTTCATCAATACTTTTTCCTTTTGTTTCAGGAACAAATGCTAAAACAAATATTCCTCCAGTAAATGAACAAGCCGAAAATATGAATAATGCTCCATGTAAACCCATGGCATCAACAATGACCGATAAATACTGGAAAAATGTAAAAAGTTGTGAAATAGTTAAAATCATAATTTACAATTCCTACCTTAATTATGAAAAACGCGAAAAACCATAATACTGAAATACAAACACTTAAAACTATTTCACGAATTTTTGGAGGACAAAGTTCAGACACTAGTAAAAATGGTAATGTTGATACACCCCATGATACTATAAATATTATAAATGAAAAGCATGCAAGAGGTACCCATCTATAGCCGGACACATCATATCCTGGCATGTTATCTAATAATATAAAAGTTCCCATACACAAATGTCCGATTCCAGTACCAAATGCAGAACCAGCAATTAATAACTGAAATAGAATAAGTGAACAATACAACAAAAATTTTTTTAAGTTTTGAGAAAAAAAAAACAAAATTCAAAGAAATTTTACTTTTCTTCCAGCTCTTTCAACTAAAATAACCGAGAAATATGATCCAATAAGTTGAATTAATGCAACAATAATTGATGAAATATTTGGAGATAATGTTGAACCAGCCTTAACAAATATCGTTGCTGTATAATTAATCATTGCAAAACAACCACAAAATTGATTTAAAGCCATTAGAGCTACTCCAATAACAAAAGCCTTTAAAGCTGGTTTTGTTGCTGCAATTGAAAAATTTAAATTATTTGAAATATTTTATAAATTTATTAAACAAAAATCATTTACTAAAATCTTTCCAAGATAACTGATTTTCATCCCCTTTACTCTTATGAGGATCATCCAAATAATCATGTTTTAATTTCTCTAATTCAGATTTAAAATATTCTGGTGGTTCTTTAGAAATTTTTCTTAAATTTCTAAAATATCTTAAGGATATCTCAGCTTCCTACAATTTTATTCAAAATAAAAACTTAGACATTAAAAAATAAAATTTTAAAAATTGTAGACCTTAATTTTTTTAACTTTAAGTAACTGAGGTGGAGTTTCCGGTAAAAATGCAAATAAAATTATGAATAAAATTGGAAAAATTGTTAATATATAAGGAAAGATATCATAATCTACATAGCATCCTAAAACGTATGCAACAAGTAATCCAAAATTTGCTGAAAGAACCAAATAAGATCCAAGTTGACCGCGAATTCTTAAAGAATCAAAGATTTATAATTAACAGAAATTGTATATTATAAATGTATTAATTACCTATCTTCTGATATTTCTGTAATATATAATGGAACTATACAAAAAGTTGCGCCGCCAGCTAATCCACCTAGAAATCTTGAAACATAAAGATATTCTACACTTGAAGCCAGTATTATTAAAGCCAAACTCATCTGAAAAATTAAATAATATTATAGATATTTAAAAAAAAAATCTACTTGCAAATCACTCGAATTCAAGTTAGAATTTTAAATATTTCCTATAAAATTTGTAAATTTGTATTATAAAAACTGTAGTTTCCCTAAAAATATGCAAAATTTTTAATATTTTTCCTATAAATTGTATATTTTAGGCCGCGATCTTACAAAATCACTGTACCAAAAACAATCAAATGAGAATTTTTCTTAAATTTTAACTCACCAATGTTGGTATTACAATTAGCATCATTGAAATTTTTCTTCCATAAAAATTTGCTAACCATCCAAACAAATAATTTCCAACAAAACCACCAACACATAATAAAGATCCTACCCAAGATGCTTGTTCATCAGTCATTGGACCACCATCTAATGGACTATCTTTTGATTGTAAAACTAAGAAACTTGATGATGGCCAACCACAAAATGCTCCATATGACATTGACAATATGTTTGCTGTTAAATTATAATAATTAATTAAAAATTTAAATTTTCAACAAAATTTTTTATATATAGGTACCACATAATGTAGCATAGTACTGATATTTTGCACTACTCTTCGCCATCTTTTATTTTTTCAATAAAATTTTCTTTTAATATTAAAAATAAAATTTTACAAAATTTTTTTCTCCTCTTTATTCAAACATTCCTTCCAACTGTAAAGTCTCAAATGTATTTTAATACTAAAATGTTTAAAGTTTTTAAATTTGTAAGGAAATTGTAATCTACATACAGTCACTGACACTAACGCTGACACTGACACTGATCGTGAAAATTCATTAAACAAATATTCCCACAATAAAAATTTTCTTCCTCTTTACAACAATTGATAAGAATTTACATTAATGATTTGCAAAAAAAAAAAAAATAAAATAAAATTACTAATTAAATATTGAATAAAAAAGGATAAACTCTGCAATGTTTTAATAAACTCAGTGATTGCTAACTAATATTTTCACTTGCATATTAGCTAAATAATACAACTAAGAGAGAAATTTGCTTTTAATGTGACTGATATGAACGGTTTTTGATATCTGACGGCATATTTCCCCTTTCGCTCCCCCCTCATACATAAATTGAGAGTAAAATTTTATTTTATTTACATATACAAATTTTATAATAAACATTTGATATTAAGCATGCCTTCTCTTAATGTATACACCCCTTCTTGCTTAGTAAATATAATAATAATGTATATCATTCTCTATTTCTTGATAATATTTTAACTTGTATACCTAGACAAAATCAAATAGTGAATAATTAATTATTGTTATAATGGCATACTATAGGATTAATCTCGGACACAAAATTCGTCAATTAAATATTGTACGTCAACTGAATTATCCGAATCGTCACATATTGAGACAATTACATTCTCCTCTGGCTTTAGAATGAATTCAAAATTTGATCACTTTATTTGTCCACTACAGTTTTTGTATCATTTAGATGCTCAAAACCTGCTCAATAAAGTAATTACAATTACAGAATCTGGTCTCAGTCTATAAACTCTTACCACACAAAAATAAAATAAGGATTTTATTAAATTGTTTTAGTAATAAAAATTTCAGTTGACATCAACTTTACCTTGACGCTAAGAAATTCACCATGTCAATACACTACAGTGGAAATAAAAACGGTCCATATTCTAAAATTTTCAAGACCTTTAGAATGTAAATTACAAATTATTTTGAGCTATAGTGTTAAACAAACACTTCTATATAAATTAATATTAATTACCGTAAAAGGGGGGGGGGGGGGGACTAAAGGTTATTACAAGTGAATTTTCGAAACTATAATAATTCTTAAAGATAAACATAGTTATCAACAAATCATTTAACACTACTTACCACAGTAGCTACAACTTCTATAACTAATATAATGAAATATAATGAAAAAAAAAATTGTTTGTTCTTTAATTTTATTATTTAGTAGATATTCTAAGAATCTTATCTGGAACAGGAGAGTAGCATGCTAATAAGATAACATTATTGTAATTAAATGCCTCGGAGAAATCTTTACCATTAACAGAAGGCACATTTTCCAACGAAATATTCCGAAAAGATCAGACAGATAAAGATCCTAAAAATGTGGATACATGCGAATTTTGGTTTGCTGAATTTTATTGAAAACTAAGGCAATCTTAGATTTGCCTTTCCGTTTTGCAGTTTTGAAAATTCTTTAAAAGACAATCCTAATCGATTATTTAAGTACATTAAAGACCAATAAAACAGGGTTTCGCCAAATGTGATCTGATAATTTTTGTTTATGTTTTGATTAGATAGATTGACTAAAAACAAGTGATAACCCAGTTTTGCATTGAATGATTAAATTTTAAAGTGCAATTATAATATTCAAAGAGCCGCATAAAATCATAAAATATTTTTGCATAATATGCCACCAAAAACGTTTCTTGTTGTCAAAACCATGAGTTCGAAAGCACAAATAATTCAAAAAAAATAAATTATCTGTGTTACCAGCAATAATAGCCAGGCCAATATAAAAGTCAGTCTTCGGGAATTTAATTCAAAACTTTAATACGAGGCTGAGACGAAAATTTTAATCTTATATTATATTGTCTATGTAACAACTACAGTAATTACTGAAATTTTTTGAACAATGCTTGTTTTATTTATTACATATATATATATAAATAATATACATAGTATATTAATATATTATTAATAAATTAATTTTTTAACATTATTTATACTACATAAGTACATAACAATCGTAACCCTAAACTTTCCTAGATAATTAAAAAATTTTAAGTATATTTTTAAAAAAATATTCCGAAACTGAGTAAATTTCCTTTAAATTTTTAACTTAAAATTTTCATTATTTCTTCTATACTTCGACCTTTTGTTTCTGGTACCCAAATAAGTACAAGTAATCCGCTTAAAACAGAACATGCTGCAAAGAAAAACATTGTACCATGTAATCCAGAAGTTTCAACCATAAGTGGCAATGACTAAAATATAAAAAAAAAAATCAAAATTTTTAAATACGTTCCCTTGAAAATAGTCATGAAAAATAATAACTTACTTTAACCATAAGGAATGCAAAAATCCATGACAATGATGTTGCAAACATAACATTAAGACTTCGAATTTTTGGTGGTGTCAATTCAGCAATTATTATAAATGGTACAGTTAATACACCCAATGACCCAACAAATAAAATTTCTGAAAAACTAACAATTGGAATCCATTTAAATGATGATACATCATAGCCCATATTATCAAGCATTGTGAATAACCCTAATGCTAATAAACCAATACAACCACCGAATGTTGAAAGCAATAAAAGTATCTAAAAAAACAAAATGATTTTTTTTCAGTGTTAAATTGTTTCTTATTTAAATTCAAAAAATTACTTTTCTTCCTAATTTTTCAATTAAAACTGTTGCACAAAATGCTCCTAAAAATTGTACAGCACCAACAATAGCTGCTGAAGCATTTGGTGATAATGTTGAACCAGCTTTCAAAAATATTGTTGCAGTATAATTGAGCATTGCAAAAGATCCAGTAAATTGATTTATAAACATTAGAATAACACCAATTAAAATTGATTTATAAGCTGGTTTCGTTTCTAAAATTTTCAAAATTATTTTTAATATACTCAAACATACTCATAAATAAATATTTATAAAAAATTTTCCAATTTTTAACTTACTAAAATCATCCCAAGTAATTGATAGAGAATCTTCAATATTTTCATTTTTTTCTTGTACTTTCTCTTGTAAAAAATCATCTTTTAATTTCTCTAATTCATATTTAAAACGATCTGGAAGATCTTGTGACATACGTCTTAAATTTCTAAAATAACGTAAAGCTTTTTCAGCTTCCTATAAAAATTTTTTTAAATTAATAAAATACAAGAGCATTATGTACTTAATACGAAAACTTACTTGAACTTTTTGTGATTTTAAAAGTTGTTGTGGTGTTTCGGGTAAAAATACAAAAAGTGCAAAGAATACAATTGGTATAATCATTAAAAGATATGGTAATAAATAATAACTAACAGCCCAGCCAAGTATAAATGAAATTTGTACACCTAAAAATACTGAACAAACTAGATATGAACCAAGTGTTCCTCGAACTCTATTAAAAAAAAAAGGAAAATTTGAGAATTACGCATATAAGAATTTTATAAATTTCAAAATCATAAAAATTTGCATACCTATCCTCTGCAATTTCTGTTACATATAGTGGAACAACTACATAAGCACCTCCACCAGCTAATCCACCCAAAAATCTTGACCACAGTAGATATGTCACATTTGTACCAATTATAATTAAGATCCAGCTTGTCTAAAATTTCATAAAATAAGAATTTATCAATAATTCAAAATTTTAATAAAAAATGCAATAATTTTTTGAATATAATTTCTAAATTACAATTATTTCTCATTTATAATACCTACTATATTGCTCTATATAATATATTCTACATGTATAGAATCGAATAAAAATGTATAAGAGAAATTTTAATTTTTTACACATTTACTGAAATTTAAATATTCGTCACGGCAAAAGTATATTTTAATAATTCAAAAACGTGACTTAATTAGTAAAATAAATTAATGACGAATTAGATGATTATAATATTACGTTTTATTAAATATTTGCTTATGCTAATTGAAATCTAATTCTACGTAAAATATAGAAAACGCTTCTCTACTGAATTAAAATTTTATAATTTGATAATTTGAATTAAAAACAAGGTAACATAATTTATAACAACAAAAATTAATTTTTTGATAAAGAGGTGCTTAAGAATATTGAGACTGAAATTGTAATAAATTTTAATACGTACGCCTAAACGTATGCAATTTTAAATAATATTCAATGAATATGAAAATTTTTATTATAAATTTACTTATAGCGAGATCTTTTACAATCATATAATTTTATTCAATTATTATGTCTATTAATATTTTATATATATATATATATATATATATATATATATATATATTACAATATTACAGCTTTGTGATTGAACATGAATATTTTTGTAACAAACAATGAACAGAAATTCATTTTTGAAAAATTTTTTTCAATTAAATCAGGATTTTCTTCAATATTAAAGTAGTGTTTCATAAGAGTGGAATATGCAAACGATCAATGCCGCTCAACAAAAATTTTAAAGGAAATAGTTAAATCAAATCACTTATGAAGAAATCTGACGATATAATAGAACTTTTGTTTTTATTTATGTTATGTTTTTAAATATCAAAACTTAACTGAAAGCCATGGTCTTAATTATAAACTATTTGTAGTACCAATAACAATTGTAGAAACAATAACAATCAGTGAATAATTCTTCTAAATATAGTTGGAAAAAATTCATGATTCTAACATCGAAATTCCGAAATTTATTGTATCTGTATATGAATTAAAAGTGTATATGAAAAAATTTTAAAACAAAAAATAATAAACGTGACTATGAAAGCATTTCATTACAATGATTCCTGAGTGTGTAGAAAATGCACTCTTAATTTTTTGATAATTTTGAATCTTTTATAAATTTTAAACGATCATTGTTCAACAACCTTTATATTTATAATTAAAACTGATGTTTACATTTAACTGATTAAAATTACAAAGGCAATTATTATTGATGAGTCATGAATTTAATTATTTAAATATTGTAGTTAATTTGTGACTTTCTTATTTAATTAAAAATTATTCATTTAATGAAATTTGAATACCATACTATTCAAAGCTATAATAATAAAAAATATGGAATACATGACACACAACGTGTGTATGTATGTATATAAAAAATAAAATTATCAATTAAATTTGAACTTGCTTCCACTTTTTTTTTATAATTAGATCGCTCGCTTTAATCTTAAATATGCTTAATAAATTCATGAAACTAAATCTAACAATTTTTACATGGTGTATGGGGAGAAGCTTTTAAGAAATTTTTAATCTTTTCATTTCTCTCATTCATTAAGTATTCGATTTTTTTTTTTTGTTAGTTTCCTAATTGATTTATTGTTAAATTATATTTTTAACAAATTCGACTATATTTAGAAATATTTTAATTTGAATAAAAAAAAAAACAAAAAAATTTCCAAAACTATTTATAGTACATGGAATTGATGCTAACCAAGATTTTGATTTTTTTTTTCTTGTAATAATTATTATACAAAAATTTAGAAAATATTTTATATAAGAATTTATATACTTACCATAATTGGTATTAATACCATTAACATTGATGCTTTTCTACCAAAACGATCAGCTAACCAACCAAATAAAAAATTACCAATTAAACCACCAATACATGATATTGAACCAATCCATGATGTTTCATCTGGTGTTATTGGTCCACTTTCAAGTGGACTTTCATCTGATTCTAATATTAAGAAACTAGGTGATGACCATCCGGCTACAGTACCATAAGCCATTGACATTATATTTACTATAATTATTTTTAAATAAAAAATTTATTTTTTTATTTTATAGAATTCGAAAATTTTAAATGTTAAAATGGTTGTTTTAGTTTGTAGCCATAATTTCCTATATAATTTGAATCTCTTTTAATAAGTTTTTTGAAAAATTTAATTCAGTGAGTTACAACTACATTTCTCGCCTCACATTCAAATATTTAAATCATATAAAATTTCATAAGAATTTTTAAAAGTATTTGCATATTTTATCAAACGATAAGCTTTTTATTTGTGTATTTCTATACTTGTTTTCAAATTCTTATGTTACTTCTGAAAAACCGTACGATCTTAACCAAGATTATAATTTTTAAAATTTATAACAATTATTTAATTTTAAAGAAATTTTCTTATTACTTTACTTATGTCACAGCATTTAGCAGATCTTACAATAATTAAATTAGGTTTCATTACAACCAATTAGTTCTACATAAAATCATCACTTCTTTAAATCTTAATCCTTGACACAACTGCCAAATTTGTCTTAAAATTTTCTTGTAACCAATTCACATTTCAAAATTATTGTCACTTTAAAGAAGATGCCCTCATTTTAAGATTAAACTATCAGTTTCACATTAAAACTTACCACAAACAGCTGCATATCGCTGATATTTTAAAGAATTTTCCGGCATTTCAATTATTTTAATTTTATTTTATTAATTAAATGAATAATTTTATTTCTAATTTTATTCAATTTATATAAATTTTGTAATATTATAAAAAAAAAAAAAACGAAATGTTGTAGAAAAAAAACTTTTTTCTTCTACAATTTTTTTATTCTTTAAAATTTTTAATTAAACCGGCTAAAGCATTGATGTGACTAACGTGACCGTGAATTATAAAATAAAATGAGAACCATGACTTTACGTACTATATAACACTTCTATTTATGTGTATTAATTTCGCAAAGATAATGTGACATTATAATATTATTATTTAATTTAAAAAAAAAAAGAATACATTTCTAATTGCATACACACTTCAACTAACATACATACATGTACATAATAAGCATTTGTTATCAGTCTTATATTCGTACATATATATATATATACATATTTTTCTATTGTTATTACATATTATCAAAATTTCGCTACTCAATTATAACCATGTACATATGTTATTATTTTGATTATTATATAGATTTTAAGTTTACCACTTGACAGCTGATGATTATACATGTTATGACTTTAAATTATATGCGATTAAAAAATGTATGACACCATAAATTTATGTTTGTGCGACAATACGCACATATTATGTATGTATACTATTTGTATGTATAAATATACTTAAAAAATAACATCTTATTCGCGTGATTTTGTTGTTATCTACAGTTCATTAGAGAAACTAATTTATTTTGCATTATAAAGCACGGTATTTAAAAAGAAGGAATTAATTTAATTCTTATATACAAAAATGTTAAGGAATATGCTAAAGAAACTTTGAGAGCCTTATTTTATAAAAAGAGACTGAGAAATATTATTTTATAATATTTGTTTTTAATAGAACATTCATTAAACTGTAAACTAATACAAATCATATACATAATTTGATTGTCAAATAGGGAGAAACGAGAAAGAGAGCCAATTTTTAATAATAACATAATATAAACAAAAAATATTTAATCCTCTCTTTGATCAGTTATAATCTATAGCTATACAAATTGAGATATTTAATAATATTAAAGCTTTTGAATGTTCTTTAGCATTCATTCATCTAATTTGCTTATACTACTTACCACAATTTTAAGTTCTTTCAAGTAAATTCTTTTTCAAACGAAAAATTCAAATATCACCAGCAAAATCCAAACATCCATAATTTTTAAAGCATAAAAAACAATATTTTTATATAAAATGTAAATAATCCAAAATTGTTTACGTAAAATGTAAAAAATTCAAAATTTTCATATAAAACGTAAAAAACTTTAAATTTTTTATTTAAAATATAAAAAAATCAATATTTTTATATAAAACGTAAACAATCCAAAATTGTTTACGTAAAATGTAAAAAATTCAATATTTTTATATAAAACGTAAAAAACTTAACATTTTTTATTTAAAGCATAGAAAATTCAATATTTTCAAGCAAAACGTAAATAACCCGAAATTGTTTACGTAAAATGTAAAAAACTCAATATTTTCATATAAAACGTAAAAAACTTAACATTTTTTATTTAAAACATAAAAACTCTCAATATTTTCATATAAAACGTAAATTACCCAAAATTGTTTACGTAAAATGTAAAAAATTCAATATTTTCATATAAAACGTAAAAAACTCTATTTATCCTTTAAAATTTAAGATTGCTAGCTGCATCCTTGATAATAAAGATTTAAAAAATTGACAAAAGTGACGTTTATTAAATGCGCTGGCAAACTCCGTAATTATGTGCACATTTTTAACATCTTATTGGGAAAATGTAAGCCACAGGTCATATAGTAGACAATGAACACTAAATTCGCTATCCTTGTCTTTTGTTCATTAATTGATTTGTAACTTGAATCTATAAAAGTAAACTCAATATAATCAAATTTAGTTTAATGGTCCTAAAATGTTTTATAGAAAATCGATGTTTAATTGTGGTTTTAGTATAGAAATGGTTTTATTCGAATGGTTTTAGTAGAAAATTGATTTTAAGTGTAAAACTCATTTTCGTAGGAAAACATAGTCAAATTTTTTAGATTTGCTGAGAAAAAGCAATCGAATAATAAAATGTTTTAATGACATTATGCAATTAAAATAAATGAGATTGAATTTTATATGAAATTTACCTTTTAATTATATTTTTCTAGTAGTTCATGTTTAATTATACATTTCTAGTAAATTATTCTTGAATTAAATATGACGGCCAAAAGTATTTAATTAAAAAAATATTTACAATTTTCTTTGATATTTTTTATTTGTAACTGAGTGACTTGATACAAAAATATTGCTGCAAAATTTTTTTAATTTTATAATATTTATTAACTAAACTACAAACCTAAATTAAATATTTAAATTCTTATATTAAAAATATAAATATTTAATATTAATATTAATATATTAAATATTTACAATCAAAATATTTAATTTAAACAGCACAACGAATACAATAACAAAAGGATTAAAACATAACATACGTGTGATTGTGTGTACGTATACAAATTTTGTAAATTTATTTTTCTACTAACTTATCTGAATAATTCTTAATGATTTTCTATTAGCCTAGTCAACTTTAGGATATAATGTCCATTTCATCTCACTTAAATTACATCATCTTTGAAGCTCTTTAGAAAATTAATTGTTTACTGAATTCTACGTCTCGTACTAAACACTGTAACATTACAATTCACTACTTTTTACTACTAAAAATTGTTATTATTCCTTTATTAACTGTTTCAATTGTTATTAATTGTAATATAATATTAAAAATCACTGAATGTACTCAAAAGTACCTGTAAATTCATAAATTTTCGAGTTTAAAGAAAAGAAGTACATGTATTACGAAATCTATAATTCACTGTTGAATTTGTATACTAAAACTAAAAACGATTTCATTGTAATAACAATAAAATAATTGTTAGCATTATTTAAGTAAATATACCATACAGTTTTATTTAATATTTGATTTGTTGTATATAGCTGTCATGTTTATTGTCTTGCTACTACAAAAAGAAAAGATAAGAAAACTAATGATAATAAAGCTATTAAAATGAAAGAAATTCCTAAGGCAAGCCTCGACACTCAAAAATGTGAAATTATTATTTAATCTTAACTGCTTTTACTGTTGTAATTATTTAAAAACAGGAAAAATAATTCATTGTAATACTAATCGGCAAAAATAACACTTCAAATAATTAGAAAACAAAAGAAAATCCTAAAGTACACTTTATTAGCTATATGCGTCCTTTAAATCCCTAAACAGAAATAAAAAAAAATGAATTAAATAGTAAAATCTGCAGTTTAAACAGAAAACACTTTTTCAAAAATTTCTCATATACAATGTAATATTTGTGCATATTAGAGATTTTATAACTGGCTTATTTAAATTTTTAAAAATTCACGCAAAAAACCTATAGTTTTGACCAAAAAAAAAATTTAAAGTTTTTTAAAATTTCTCATACTTCATTGAATGCTTTCCATTTGATGAGTATATTGTAGTCGTTTCGCCTAAACTTTTCGTTCGCTCAAAAATTCGCCTTACTTACAATTAAGTGAAAAAAGCACTTAGCGGAAACCAGTTCTAAGGTTCCAATATAAATATTTATAACATTTTTTATAACTACTAGTTTCCTAATTTAATTTTTAAAAATTCTTATTTCTTGCAATTTAGTCAAAAAATGTACTCAAAAAGCATTTTTCAAAAAATATTCGCTCAAAACATTCGCTCAAAACATTCGCTGAAAAAATTCGCTCAAAACATATACAATTTAGCTAAAATGAATAAATGTAACAAATCGTCTGTCCCATAAATTTTACTAAGAACTCATATTATGAGTTTTTTAATTATTAAAAACTATTGTTGCCCAAATCGCTAACAATTTTAATTTCTTATTGATTTCCATATCAACATTATCGACAAAATTGATTTTCATTATTTAATCTCTCAGCATTCTTATACTATTCTAATGTTTACTTAATGCGATAACTTATCCGGTCTGTAATGACGTAAAAATTTTGTCTATTTTCTTCACTTAAAGTCAAGGGTAAAATGATATCTGTTATAAAATAGTTATTTATTTGAAGAAATTTTGTAAATTTCCAATAATAATTACCATTGATATACGCAATAATTTTGTGATCATCGTACCAATTGTACTTTAAGTGATTTGGCTCTCAAGAAATTCATGTAGTACTCAATGATAATAACAATTAAATGTGTAATAACATAATGTACTTGAAAAAATTTTAATTTGTTCTATAATTTTTTTAATAATAAACAATTATTATACAATTAGGCAATTAATAACCAAAAAGAATTGATAAATAACTCTTGGTGATAATTGAAAAAAAAAATTTTGGTAGTTATATTGTTATACAATATTAGGCACATAATAATTAACTTGTAATGAATATCAAATTTACCAAATTTGAAAAAAGTGTGCTGCTCTACATAAATTTGATAATATTGTTGGTTTAATATACTTAGTTAGATAATTTGACTATTTAAAAGTGCAATGAACGAAATGTAGATGAAGGACAAATATTTCAAGTGTCAAGAATAATTTTAAAGAGGGATAGGTCAGAAATTTTTGATACTGTACATATATTAAGTGTAATATTCACAATATATTAAGTGTTATAAATTTATAATGTTCGAAAATTTTCAAATATTTTTTTATTGAAATGTTGTTGATATATTTACGAAAGACAATCGATAATTAAAAGAAATAATTATAAGATTATTTGTCTAACCTAACTACAAGAATTTTAATTGTTTTAACACTGTAAGCGTAAGTCTACACTCTCTGAATAGGCCGAAGACCTCTTCGGAAATAGATGCAATCGGAAAGAGTTAAAATGAGAAAGCAAAATACTTGATTTGGATTAGAAATCTTAAAGTCCTGCAACAAACTAAAAAGGTGTCTATTGTTGAGCGGTTCAAAAAAATTATCGTGACGGGTCTCCTGCTAAGTCAATTAGGTAACCAACGAATTGTGGCCGTCTGATTCCCGAGAAATAAACACTTTTATCAATGCATATAATCTCTGTAAGAGTGCTCTCGGTGAATAGCTAAGCATGTAGTCGGATGGCTCAATAAATTCCCTGGATTCGTATTGTATTGTAGTCTCGACCCTAATTAACTAATTATAAGGAAAATTTCAAAAATTTCTAAATAGCAAATACCTTCAATAATTTAATAAACAAAACCTTATTATTCTTTTTTTTCACTTATTTTATTTAAATATTTATATATTTACATAACAATTACAATTTATTTAAAAAAAATAAAATAAAACAATAATAATCATAATTATACTTCTCCACTTTAATTGCATAATTATACATATACTTGTGTGTATATGTTTATACATAAACATAAATATATTTTTCAACTATTTCTACAATATAAGCTCAATATTACTCGTATACGAATTTTTAATTACAATATAATTGTACTATATATGTATATACGATGCAATAAAATTAAACATAAGTAATATTTTACTATATAAATTACAAAAATTCGCCGAAAATTTATTAAAATTTATAAAATTAAACTTTACAATTTATGTATAACAATATAAAAGTTATACAAAATAAAATAATTGAATTACTAAAATAATATTATAATTTTCTCTATATTGAAATATTTAACAATATTGTTATCTTAGTTATTATTAAATTCTAGGTACATTTCATATACATACATTTATATACTTATATGTATATATTTAATATTCATTTATTTACTCAAAATATCTAAAATTTCATTAATACTTTTACCTTTAGTCTCTGGCAAATATAAAATAATAAAAATTCCACCTAAAAAGGAGCATATTGAAAATATAAACATTGATACATGTAATCCAAAAGCTTCATTAAATACAGGTAAACCCTAAAGCATATGTTATATTATAAAAAGAAAAATATTAATATTCGAATTAGTATAACAATAATGTTAGATTATTATATTATTATGTCAATATATTATTTACATATGTATGTATATAATATTATGAATATACCGAAGAAACTATTATATTATGTATAACAATAATTAATATTTCACCTTATTCAGTTAATATACAGGGTTTACTTGTAATCTGGTATAATATCTCGGAAACAGAAATATGAGATAATTTTATGAAAAGAAATGGTTCCTGGTAGAGGGGAGAATGGAGAGACCAAATGGTTATTCAACCTTTAAAGTTCCATTTGAGAATTTTTTGGTTCAACAAAAAGGTGTATCGACTTAAATAACTTTAACTTGCATAATTATTACCAGATTTAAAAAAAAATAATTCTGTAATGGAAAGCTGGCATGTAGCTCTTTATTTAAAACAAATGCAAATATGTCATCTGAAACATTACTTAAAAAAATATTGAGGAAATACATCAAAAGAAAAAAGTTCAAAATTTTCACAAAATGACCAATTACAAAAATATTTACCCTATTCAAATTTTTCTTTTTTTTTTGCATTACTTGAAAGGATTTGAGTTGTTCTTCAAATTAAAAAATTTAAAATGGACGGCGTCCGGTAATAAAAAAATTGTATTTCGCAAAATTGTCCCCATTTTTCTGCCCGCGAGAGATTATACCACGTTACAGGTTCACCCTATACGTATGTCTATAACAATAGCAAAACGATTATTACAAATATTTTGGTACAGGGTCATGATTTTTTAAGAAAATAATTAAAAAAAATATCATTATCACTCGAAAAAGATTTGTTGAAGCAAAAATGAACACAATTTTTCATTAAACTCGATTATCTTCTTCCATGGTTCTGAAACTGATGATCGTTTTTGAAAACTCAATAGATACGCGATTTTTTTGGGCACCGAAAATTTTGTTCAATTTTCTATTGTGACAATAGCAAATATTCTATTGTTTGCGTGACAATATTTTGGCTAAAATAAAAATCGTATTCTATAAATTTCCACAGAAATATTTCACAGTCTCATCGCTCAAATTATTCGAACTAGGGTGCTCAACTTTGAAATACAAGGCATATATGCTATTGAAACAAATATCTCCATATATTGTATAAGTAAATACTTAAAATTTTTATTCCTAACTCAAATATTAAGTACTAATAATACCTATGATAAGATTCACAAATTACACATTCTACAATCTTGTCTATACCACATTTATTCGAGTTTAAAAATCAAGCTTTTTAATTTCTATAATGTAAGTAGATACTAACGATTCCCTCATAATATTCTCATTTCTCTAAAAAAAAAAATATTGAAAATAACCTTGTTTAATACAATCTCATTAGAAAAAAGGATAAAATCAAATATGTAATTTGTATAATCATATTTTATAAATTTCGAAACAGTTGTTACATTAATTTGTATTGTATTATAAATATGTATATATTTTGTATAAAATATTTAATATTATATACACAAAGAAAAAAATACTCACTTTTACTGTAACAAAACCAAAAAAAAACATTGCTGCAACACATATCGGTGATATTACATTTATAATTTTTGGTGGTGTTATTTCTGACATTACCAAAAAATGAATTGCTAAAACACCCCAGGCCGCAATGAATATTACAAATGATAGACTAAATATTGGTATCCATTCATATCCTTGCATATTAACATTATATGATTTTATTAATGTATATATACCTAATGTAAATGTACCAAAACAGCAACCAAACGCTGATACGATCAATAACATCTAAAACAAAATAAAAATGTAATATTAAAATTCCGATATAAACCGAATTAATATTATTGTTTGGAGAATTAAAATTTTATTTTATTTTTTTTCTAATTAATTTTCAAATATCAAAAATATTATATAATATGGCAGAAAATTATATTTTTTAGATATCAATACTATATACTGTCATAATTATTACTATTATAATATTATTATCATAAATTTTACATGATTATATCAATTTTAGTCAATCTACGTTCACTAAACTATAATAATAATAATTGTATAAAACGGATATTATAATTAGATTTTTCAATATTATAATTTCATTGACCCCAACAATAGAGATTTATAGAGGAAAATCATATAAAATACTAATATTATAAATATTGTTTCAAGCGACAAATTAATTAATTAAGTTCAAAAAATTGATAATTTCAAATTAATAACAAAAAATAGAAAATATAGTATATTTAATTATAGGTAGTAGTATTGAATGCTGTTATGACAGTAACGTTTTATATAATAATTATTATTGTTATAATAAATGACAAATTCAATTAATTTAAAAAATAATTTTTGACAATTTATATAGATAGTGAGGAATCATTATAAATTGACTATTTTTTCTCACAACTAATATTATGAGCATATTAAACTTCCTATTATAATTCTCCAACTCTAAACTAGTTGGTTTATGCTAGTATATAAGCTATTTAGAATATTGAAGACTACTAAATAACAAATTTTTTAAGAAATCATTTAGTGGATCGTTCGACGTATCAAGGTTTTTCGATTATATGTGTGAGTTTCGATTGTAAATTTTTCTCAGAGTATGTAATCGTACCATCATGCTAAATTAAGTACATTTAGTTAATTAGGCAGTTTTTTGTAAAAATTTTAATAGGAATATTTTACAAAATTTTTTAAAATATTCAAAATTAGCAAAGTGTCTTGCCCCGGTTTCATTATAAATGAATAATGTTCAAAATATTAATTATCCAGTTAGTTGTTAACCTAATGAAATTTTGAAATATCGTTGGGACTGTTGGATTAGATTTTCTAACACACACTCATCAATAAGAATTGTACTAGTAGCAAAGGAAAACAAACATTGTTATACTACAATATATTAAGGAATATTCAATTTTTTTTTCAAATTGCAGGAACTTTTATAAGAAAAAAGAAAACCTATAAAATTGTTATATGTATATTAGATACCTTTCTACCGGAACGTTCAATTAAAATAATTGAAAAATATGATCCAATAACTTGTATACCAGCTACAACCATTGCAGCTAATTCTGGTGGCATACTTGATCCAGATTCATAAAAAATTAATGCTGTATAATTAATCATTGCAAATGCACCACAAAATTGACTCAAAAACATTAAAAATAAACTGATGATAATTGATTTTCTGGCAGCACGATTAGCTAACAAAATAACCAAAAAAAAGAAAACAAAAATTAAAATTAATAAAAAATAATGAATTTAAAATTTAAAAAAAAAAATCACTATTTTTCAATAACAAGTAATTTAAATGAGAAAATTTTCAAAATAAAAATTTATTGTACATAATTCAATTAATCAGATAAAAATCGGATGTAAACTTACAATATACTTACTGAAATCGCTCAATTTTAATGGTGCATTCATTTGATCTGAATCATCATCGGTATTTTTTGTTGTTTCCGTACAATTATTATCTTTTAAACATTGCATTTCTGATATAAATTGCTGATTTACTTCCTTACTTAAATATTTATAATTACGATAAAATAAATATGATTTTTCAGCTTTCTAAAAATTAAATTAGAAGAAAAACTCAAAGAAATTAATAATCTAGTTTTGCTGTTTACAAAATTTTATAATATTGATTGAAATACAGTGAAACTTCTATGTAACGAACATGAATATTTAACAAAGAATTATTGTGGCACCAGGAAATTAACAACTTAACTTAAATTTATATTTCGCAGACTTCTCTAGATTATAAATAAAAAATTTGAGCTTAGGTAGTTCGTTTTATACAATTTTTACTGTATTAATTATTTTTTTAGAATATTTCTTTACAGTTAATTAAAAGAATTAATATTGTTTTGTATTTTACACAAAAATTTCATCCTAAAATAATATACAGTAATAATAATATACAGTATAAAATAATATTTTGCTAATTTTTGTGAATATCTGAATTTCCACTCTCAAACAATTCATTAATTTTCACACATACATGTAAAAAAAAATTTAACTCTATTAAATATAATCTGCATATATACATTATGTATCTGCTACCGATTAACTGTGAAATGATAACATACATACATTTATTTACATTGCATTTAATGGTATGTGAAATAAATAAAAAAATTTTCTTTTAAAATCAAAACATTTAAAATTTAAATAAAATTTCATTTACTCCCTTTCTCTCTATCTCTGTCTCTCTAAATTTTCGTACATTTATATTTTATTTATACAAATCCTATAGCAGAATATAACAAAAACAAAACACTTACCCGATCAGCTTTAACTTTTAAAAGATGTTGCGGTGTTTCTGGTATAAATGCAAATACTAAAACAAAAACTAATACTGGTACTGATAGCATATATGGATTTGTACGGTATGTCATGTATGTTCCAGTTACAAATGCTATTAATATGCCTGCATTTATTGCCATAATAAAATATGAGCCTAAAGCACCTCTTATCCTAAAAATCAAAAAAAAAATTACAATGAAAGAAAAAAACATTTTATAATATAAATTTCATGAAATGAAATTAACAAAATCAAATCATTCAAATATCAAAATAGAAAGGATAAAATAATTACTGCGAAATTTAATAGTATTCCTCTAACTATTTTACATATATAAAAATATAACTGTACTAATGTATACTAACCTATCTTGTGATATTTCTGTTACATAAACAGGAACAAGAGAAAATACACCGCTAGCAGCGAAACCACCAAGAAATCTTGCTACACATAAATGTATTATACGTCTACCAAATATGACTGCAGTCCAACTAAACTGTTATATTGGAAAAAAAAAATTTAAAAAAATAGAGAATTATCATTAGTTTTTAAGTAGAAAAATTTTAGAAATAGTTAAAATAGTGAAAATGTATGTGTGTTTAATTTAGAATTTAAGTAGATAATCTATTCAAATTTGAATATTGCATATGAAATAGGCGAATTCATATTACACATTTAAAATTTATTGAAAGCAATAACGGTACATATAAATAAAATATTTGTAAAGAAAATAATGCCTACTTATAGGCGAATATTTATTTATTTTCACAGAGCAAAATTTATAATAAATTTGCATTGAAATTTTTATTACTTAAATTTATGCCCAATTAAATATCAATAATTTTAATTGGAATTTTTAAATTATTAAAAAAATTTTTTCAAAAATTCAAAACACACTCAAAATGATTGATTAAGAACTGCTTTTTAGATCGACAGACAGCTTCTCCATCATATTCCAAACTTATTTTCTCTTTAAAAACGTATACCGTTATAATATTATAGTACGCAATAAATTCAAAATTTGGAGTAAATTGGAAATATTGGAATCATAAAAAAAATGTTCACTTTAAGAAACTTTCAAAATATACTTACAAAAAGTGGAGCTGCTGTTATTAATAAGCATGCTTTTCTTCCAAATCTTCGATTTAACCAACCATATACAAAATTACCAAAAAATCCACCAATACATAATGATGCACCAATCCATGAAATATCTTCATTATTAATTGGGCCTGTTTCCATTGCTGATGCTGGAGATGTTAAACGTGCTATTGCTGGTGATAACCAACCACAAAATAATCCATATGAGAATGTTAAAATATTGACTGCGTAAAAACCGAAATAATCAAAAAAAATATTATGATATTACGCAATTTAAATAATATTACCAGCTATTGTTGCCAAATATTGATTTTTTGCTGAACTTTCCTGAAGCATTTTTGTTTTGTTTATTTTTTTTTTCTTGTTTTTTTCTAATAAATTTAAATGTTGTTGCTAGAAATTATAATTCGGTAAATTTAAAATTTATTTATAAATTTTTTCTTTGTCTTTTTTTTTTATTTTTTTTTTTTTTGGTTAAATGACAAGCGCGGTATTCCACCGCGTTATCCAAGAGTAATCAAGTTATAAAGCCGCTATTAAAAGATTTCTATTGTACGTTGTGATGCTTAGTCAATCATCTTAATTATTCTACTTTTCTTGTTCAATTTCTCCTCGAATTAAAGATAACAAAATATAAAAAGTACGGCAACAGGTTCTGAAATTGAAATTATTAAAAAATAAATAATGCAATTTAATTTTTATATTTATACTTTGCTATTTATATATTTGTATTTAAAATATAAATAATTAGTAATTTAAAGGTATGTTCACACTTTGATTCTTATGTGAATACAAGTTATCTCTAACATGTTTTACTTGGGCAAGCAGTTTTACGAATTTAAATTTGTGAGTTGTTGAGAACAGACTATGGTTATTGTTTGTTTGTTCCGATAAAAATTTCATTAAAATTATTGCGATTGGTACGAATAATGTGGTAAAGATTAGTTTTTCTTTTCACACAGGCTTCTGTCTCTGCAAACAGAAGAGAAAAAAAGGAGACTTTCCATCACTTTTCTTATGAATGCCTATTGGAATTCGGCTGAAAATTTTTTGGACAATCGAATTCTGAGAATGAAAAGTTTAGTGTCAACCTGCAACATCAGGACTCGGTAACATGGACTCTGTAAGTTATAATGTACGTAACTGATTTTTTATGAGTCTTAATATGAATTCAAAATTTTAGTATCCTGTTACTTCTGTGATCTAGGAATACATATGCCTATAAACCAATCAAATTTAGTCTATGGAGTTTAACTAAAACGTTTAACTCTGAAGTGCAAACCTACCATTTAAAATAATATTTATATAAAAATAATTTAAAATCTAATAAAAATAAGTTATTTTTATCCAATATTTATTTTCTAAGTCAAATAAAAACAATTTAAAATTATAATATTTAACAATATTAAGTAGGCAAAATGTTGTTAAATATGAAGATAAGAATAAGCATTTTAAAAATTTTCACAAATTAAATGCCACCAACACTCCAATACATACATACTTACGTGTATTACAAAGTGTGATGATAAGCTTGTATATAAGAGCAAACATTGAAATTTTCCAAACCCGTTATCATTACTATATGAATTATAATTTATAGCTATGATTAGAAATCTTAAAAATGTCATACAGGATTTTGAAGAATATTTTTTTTTATATAAACTGGTTAAAAATAAAGTTCAAGCCTCTTTTCAGTTTTCCAAGGTCACTAAATTTATATATAAACATAATATTATGCACGTATATTTATATTTTAAATAATTCTGTATCTCTCATGCATATGTGTAGATTTATAAAATGGAAAGTAGGTAACCCTGAAGGTTATGTTTTTTTGTTTTTTTTTTTAATGTTTGTCAAATTCAAATTTGATTTATATACAGATCGGGTATAGGAACAAAAAATAAATCTATTGAGGAAGGAAGAAAATCTGAATTAATATGTTTGTATTATGAAAATAGAAAAAACATGAACAGTTTTTTAGGAATCGGTAACTTATACTTTGCAATTCAACTTTGCACCAAAAATGAACAGAATATCAGTCTCTTAAGACTTCTGGAAATTAAATATAAAAACAAATCAATCTTAGTAATTTGGAGTGATTGATAAAAATGTCGACTATAGTTTGCTAAATAAAAATTTAAATTCAACGAAAATTTTAACACAAATTTAATAATAATTATTTTTTATTTAAATTCTTTTTACCTATTGAAGCGCTATCTATTTTAGCTTCATTAAAACTTTAAATCAAGAATAAAAATATTTAAAGGTTGTTGTCATAGAAAATAATTGTAGAAATTTGAAAATTTCCTTTTTCAAATACATATGGGACTAAAAATTATTATGTACAAAAACCTTTTTATATACAAAAAAAGAATATTTTAAATTCAGTACCACTAATTCCAAGGGAGAGTCCACTTTCTTTTATTATTATTATTGATAACATTAAATAGGTAAGTTTACCAATATTAAATTTTTTTAAATTTCTTTTTTTTTTTAAATTTTGGTGATTTTGCATTTTAAATATTGGTGCTTTTTGGATGAAATTTAATGTTACTTTTTTCCATATCTAAAATTTAAAGGATTTTTTTTTTCAAAGCCACAGAAAAATCTGAATTTGGTACCAAATAAAAATCTAAATAAATAACTAAATTCTTTATCGTAAAAAAAAATTTCTGACGAAAAACAACATTTGAATTCCGAATCACTTATAAATTTTTAATTCTTCTAATAAAATCTTCTTCTAATTAAATAAAAAATAATAAATAAATTAAATTTACAAGTTCCATACTTATTAATTGAAATTTTTTGAATTTATCGAGATTCTTTCATCATTTAAATCCAATATCGTAAATAATATTTTTGAATTATCTGTTTAGAATTAACTATATAAGATTATTACTTAACTCATATATAGGAAAATTTTTCGAAAAAATCGGTGTAAAACATGTTTGATTCTTCACTAAAATTTCCAACTTACGATAACACCAATAAGATAAAGAAAACTTAAAAAAAATTATTTTTTTTCGATCAATATAAAAGTTTTAATAATTTGAAAAGTATAAAAATTACGATTTAAACTTACAAGTTAATTTGTCCTACAAACCAAATCCTTCTTAGAATTTAAAATATTAATTAATTATTGTGAAATTTAAAACACTTTAAATCATTCTATGTTCAATATCGAAACCTTTTGACAAAAAAACTAATTGACTTTAAAATTTATGGCATACAATTTTTATAAAACATTAACCATACCTTGGGTAATAATTTTAATTTATATAAAATTTTGAATATTTTAACACAATTAAAACTAAATTATTAAAAATTTACAATAAGCAATTCATATTCAAGAAAATATATTCAAAGGGAATAAAAATTCTTTAACTTAATGGAAATTTCTTCATGCAATTGCAGAACAGATGGATGACGTAATCAAAGGAACGATTTAAAGGCAGAAAAATTAATTAAAAAATTTTTCTCCTCGAACTGGACTCGCTTTCTAGGCGGACGCTCTACCAACTGAGCAAGAAATTGCCGACGAAATGTTCTCTACGTTGTGAAATGTCTTTATACTGTAATCCACATGATTACTAAGTATTTGTTTACATTGACTGTTACATACAATCTACTATTGAGACACACAATCACAAGAACATATATATTTATAGGTATTGTACCTATTACATGCCTAAAATTCTAGGCAAACTTTACAATATATTTTAAACATATTAAATTTTAAAAATTATTTTATTAAACTATTGCCCACAAATTTATTTATTACTATAATTATAACTTTTTTTTTATGGCTTCAAACACCTACATATTTCACTATTTTGAAGAACTTAAAATCAATCACGTACATATGTATTAGCAATAAATCACAATTTTAATTTATAAGTATATATAGTTAAAGTGTTATTAAAAATTATAAGATCCAATTGATAATAATATAGAGATTATAAAAGAATAATTAATATTAAAATCCTATATGTATATAATTGTGTACATATACAAACATTATTTAACAAAAAATCAATTATGAACTTTTGAAATTATTTTCAAGTACTATTATCTAAATCTTCTAATAACTAGTATTACTTAATATATTGCTTAAGAAACATTGAACACTAATAATATTTTATAACTTACAACGACAACACTATTACAAATTTAAAATTCACATTTCATATTTCTGATTACAAAAATAAATATTAAATTATAGAATTATAAATTATACGAGTATTTTTAGTTATTTGTACTCCGAATATACTCCCAATTGGTATTAGGTACTCGTACTCTTAATATTTTTGTACTCAATCCGTTTCAGATTATTAAGAAGAACTGACTTGAAATCGAAGTTTATGAACTTTTATTATAAAGAATTTCAATAATAATTATAAAACTCATTAAACTTTAATATTATTTTTCATATAATAATTTTATATTAAATTTAATATAATAATATAATTTATTAATTAAATTACACAATTAATATATTTATATATTATTATGTATACATTTCTATTTCCTAATATAAAAGTTTATAATATTTAAGTGATAAGATTGCTGATTAATCACAATTTTAATTAATATTTTTTAATTATTAAAATACAAAAAATATTTTTATTATCGTGTATAAACTAGAGTTTTTAATAAAGTCAATGTCAATGATTGCACTTACGTATTATATATGTATGTATGTATTTAAGTACCTTTATTTGCAAATAATTCATTTTTATTAATTTCTCTAATAAAATTTTTCCTTAATTTTCCAGTTGTATACAATATTAATATTGTTAGATTTAACGTGCGCGATTTTTAATTTTAAAAATTTATTAAAGATTTTATCAAAAAATTTTTAAAAATTTCAATTATTTCATAAATGTTCTCAATATTATAAGAGATTCTATAATAAATAAATTTTTTAATTAATTTATTCAATTTAATTTTGTTTTTGTTTTTTTGCTGTATAAAATTGGCGTCTTTAAATTTTAATTACACTCTGCGAATAAAATTTAAATGGAATGCATTAAAAACAACTCAATAATATGAGAAGTTTTTTTTTGCTGATTCTAAATAACTGAACTGATTAGTGATTATTTAATAGTATGTTTCTTTTATTTACTTTGATTATTTTGTTAAAAATTCTTAACAATAATAATATTTATGGTATACAATAAAATTATACGTGAATTCGATTTAGTTAACCATAACAAATTAAAATTTTTTAATATTCTAAAGTTTGAAATTTAGAGGAATGCAATAATTTTTACAAATCAATATATGCATAGTACATGTACATATACAAGGCGATTCAGTAAACAATGACATAATTAGATTTTTTCCAAAGTTCGAGCGCTTGGTACTTCGAAAGTACATAAAATACTAAATCAAATAATATCTTGCTTTATAGCCCTATACTAGCTCTCTCAAAAACTATTTATTTGAAGCTTCTTCTTTTTCGGGATGAGAGTTATAAGCTAAAAAACTTTGGCAAATGGAAATTTCGTGAGAATTCTTTAAAATCAGTGTGCCGCGGAAATAATTGAGGTATGACACCTAATTCTGAACAAAAATTTTACTCATTTTTGATACCTTAAATGGTAGTATATGTTATGTCACTGATTACTGAATCACATTGTATATACACTGTAC